ACTGTAATTATAAATATTTGTTTTTGGACGTAACACGATACAATTTTATTAAAGTACTTTTTTTTGGATCATTGTTACCTCATAACCTCAAAAAGTTGCTTTAGTAAACTTTCCCTAGTTAAAAAAAATAAAATTCAATTTAATTTTATATAAAGTTTCTAAGTATATGGAAATACAAATGTTACCCTGAATCTGCGATTGATGGACTATATGGAATTTGGGCATTGTTCTTTACGGAACGAATTTCACTTTTTTTTATGATACCAAGTAACGGACCGACAAATTCGTGCGCCTGATGTTAAGGACGTTCTTGTCCATAGCAGGTGCAATGCTACTCAGAGCCTTTAATTGCAAAGATCTAAGGGACACTGCTATCGCTCCTGTCACCCTGAGTAATAAAAAATAAGTTGACAAGTCTCATGTAGGTACCTGTAATTACATCAGCACACCCTTCAAAACCGAAACGCAGTACTGCTTCGCGGCAGAAATAGGTAAGGTGTCAGTACTTCTCTGAACGAATTCTTTCACAAGGAGCTCTAATGTTGCTAAAAAAGCTTTACTGACAAAACATTTGCTTAAAGATCACCTAAAAGATCTAAGATGATAGAATACCCGACGCTGCTTCGCGATTTATGACTGTCGAGTTACTGTCGCGATCCATGAACGGCGATGACTGTGATATTTTTTATTGGAAAAAAACCTTATATTGTAAATTAAACAATGCACAATATACTAGGGAATTTGCCGGACTACGAGTACCACAGCAATGGAATTCATTTTGAGGCACTACCCAGAACACCCAGACCAACACAATTTAGAAAAGTTTATTTCCCAAATTGGTTCTACGGGGAATCGAATCCGATACCTCCTCCTTGTAGTGCAAATAAACTATTGGTTCATCGAGGTCGTCTAAATTCTATTTTAGATCAAAAGCTATTTTGTAAGTTGTAATTTTATATATTTCTGAGGCCGTGCAGAAGCCGAAGAAAAATCTTTTACTTATGCAGCGTATAAGCGACTATAAGTGGATAACTGCCTCAAATGCTTTTATTCCGTCATAACCAGGAGGAAATGAAAACCCCCCTTGGCGATGATCATTAGTGTCGTGTTCATAAACAAGCCACTGCGTGACAATATAAAGAAAACGCTCCATTGCTGTAGCGTTCGAATTTGTATAAATACAACATTGCGTTATGTAATCATGAACCACAAACATTTAACTTGGATTATCATATTTCGATTACTTATATAAAATGCGAGATCTTTTTAGTATAAAGTGACGCAAGGTTCGAGATAGTATAAATATGCGGTTTCAATAATCTAATTTACCTAACACGTTTCAAAACTTTTGTTTTGTATGCTTATGAAACTACACTAAAGACGCTCGTTCGTCCCAGATGTAATACAAATTTCTTTTATAACTTCTTTTCTTCTCGTGTGAGTGTAGCGCAGTTGTGGAACAGAGTGACCTTCCACACCACGGAACAAAAAAACAATGGAAGTGTCATAAGCCTCGATTACTATCGGAACTGATGTCGCTAAACGCCCATAAACGAACAATATGATAAATCCTATGAAATCTTGATAATGATTGCTTATAGTTTCTAATTTAAAAAGATGTAACAAATTCAGGAATGTTAATATAATTTAAAGTTTACCCAGTCGCTATATCGTTGAAAGTTCAATACCTGTATTGCAAGTTACGATGTTTTGATTTTATATTGAAATTTTGTTTAACATGTTGTCATCTTTCGGCCAGTAGATGGGCTACGACAGATTAGCATCTGAATGAATAGATAATCAGAACATTAAAGATTTATTAAAATAAGACTTACCAATGATATCAAATACTCTGGTAATATTTTTGGTGTAGCTACATTGACTTACAAATAAATGGACGACGGGTCTAATACAAAAACCACGAAAAAAATGTCCCAAGTCAACCTATTCGAAATTTAAATTGTAATGTCATCGCAGTATCGCGCTGTCAGTCGAACAAATGAAGACTAAAGCGGAGTTTGGCGCTCTGTATACGATTTTAGCGCCTTACAAGTGCGGACACTTTTTAGCGCGGACCCGACGTCCATATAATTGTAAGTCAATGTGTAGCTATCATTTTTGCACTGCAAAACAGCACAATAAAGTATTTTTCTTCTACTTTAGAGAATTTGCGCGAAAGAACCATACCAAACAAAGCGAAAATGGCGGATTGAGCAAGTAGGTCTTTCGATACCTAATGTTGGCACGCGTCAGACGCTAACCAACCACTTCCACTGTATTTATTGTTCTGTTTTCCACACCCAGGCTAGCCTGTCGGTTGCTGAAACGCAACGCACATTATTGCTGAACTATTTATGTAATCATCTTTTTTTATTTATAATATATGTCATAAGGATCCTTCTTTCATTTTTTACCCGATGGGCTTGAAGAACATGCAATATAATAAAAATTGTGTTGTTGAAGAACTTTTTAAAAATACGACTTACGACTTTTCTAAATGTACAACAAGGTCGTACAATGTCACTTCAGTTGTTTTATGGAAACAATTCTATTCCTGGTCCCCGTCCGTCTGTTGCCTTAGGTGTCACGGCGCAGATGTCCAGTACTTATTTATATATTTCTTTAGCACACTTATATGGTTAGGGCTACGGCCTACACACACACACACACACACACACACATACATATATATGTGTGTGTGTGTGTGTGCGTGTGTGTGTGTGTGCGTGCGTGCGTGTGTGTGTGTGTGTGTGCGTGTGTGTGTGTGTGTGTGAGTGTGTGTGTGTGTGTGTGTGTGTGTGTGTGTGTGTGTGTGTGAGAGTGCGTGGGTGTGTGCGTGTGCGTGTGCGTATGTGTGTGTGTGTGTTGTGTGTTGGTGTGTGTGTGTGTGTGTGTGTGTGTGTGTGTGTGTGTGTATATGTGTGTGTGTGTTGGTGTGAGTGTGTGTGTGCGTGTGTGACCTACACTTGGTTTGACCTCTCAAGAAGAGGTTCTGGGTTCGGATCTAGATTACCTATAACGTACTCGTAATTTATACGCAAAATTTCAATTTGTCATGAGGTTTTCGGTGAAGGAAAACATCGTGATGAAACCTGCACGTCGAAAAAAGTTTTTTCAACCCTCGGAAAACGTGTGAAGTTCCCAACCCGCCTTGGTCGCGTGGCAGACTATGGCCCAAATCCTCGCCTGAGAAGAGACCCGTGCCCAGCAGTGGGACGTGTAAATGGGGTAATGATGATATTGACCGTATTTATTATAAGTTACATTTTCTACGTATTTATAATATTTATGTAAGACTTCATAGTTTTTATTTATCTGTATAATGTACATAGGGTAAGGTTGCGATCAATGGACCAACAACGCTTTGATTGAACCACTTCAAAATCTCGTCAACTATTCGTTTTTAAAATTATCCGTTGGCTCGGACCGGTAGCTCTCTATCCCCCTGCCCGGCCCCTTTCGCGCCGTGTTGAGTGTCTCAGGCTCCGTTGAGGAGAGATATTCGTCATTGTTACAAAATTCTCGTGATATATTTTACCATGTGAGTATATTTCTGTAACGCTTTTCATTGTATTTTTTTAACAATATTACTGGATGATCGGAGGTGCAAATTATAATATTTTTATGATTATAATATTTTTATCATAAATTTTTGTAAATAACGTGTTAGTCAGAAAGCGCCAAATAATTATTAATGGACCAGTGCTAAGTTTTTTGGTTGGACCGGTTCAATCATGGAAACTTCTTAAAACTTGTTTTCATTTATATTTTATATGTTTTAGCATGACACAAACAAGACAATATTACACGCTTTAGGTAAAAAAGAAGTAGGCTTGAATGAGGCAAGCACAGTGTATGGAGGAGTGCCTAAAGCGACCTTCAAATGAGTGTTTGATGATAGAAATGTCAAAGCCGAGAAGCAAATTATATATTTAAATAATAATATATCATGAATAATATTTTTCAGTTCGTATGTTATGATAATTTTAATGAAAAATGTTATGTTACCTACTCCTTGTGTCCTTTTTTTGTGTCCTTCCTTGTGTACTTTTCAATTAAGTCAGCCAGTAAATCAGTTGGCCAGGTACGGTTGTTACGGTTATGGTTATAACTAGTCTCAAAGAATATGGTTGTTCACAGTTTTTTTTTAAATAATAATAAAAATAAAAAATTAGTTAAATAAAATTGTTCCTTTGTACTGTTTGCATTTTTTCTCATAGTTTTATTATATAAATTGAGATTTGATATTGCGTAGCCAGTTAAAAACTTTGTTGTCAAATTTCTTATCATAGATATATTTTTTACTTAATTAAGATTTATTCGAACGAAAAACGACGACTGAGTTAAAGAAATTAACATTATATTTTATTTTCTTTAATTTGATTAAATCTTTAATTGAACCAGTAGGGACAAATCTTTTAAGTCCAATGATGGTAACTGAGTAGTCCAATTAAAGTGACGGTGGTCCAAAGAAGGCAACCCTTACATGTTTTTATTTTCCTGTTTGTATAACAATACTTAATAAAAAGAAGCCTGTATTGATATCTACAAGTACATGAATTTAAGACCCTTTTAATCTTTGAATATTTTTCTGTTTACATTGTGTGATTTAAAATTTAGGCCTGTTCAAAATTAAGTGGTCCAATAGTAGCAACCTTACCCTAATATTTCTTTCTCCCTCTTTCTCTCTTGCACGCTGGTGCTCCCTTATGACTGACTTGAGTTGGCTGAAAGACAATTCACCTTTGCTCACCTTTTGTATAATTAACATTTCTTTTGTATGTGTTTGTATAAGAAATAAGTAAATATACTTGAATAAGGTTCAGTATTTACTCATAAATCAAATGTAAACATTTCGTGCGTACGAATTTATCAGAAGTTTAGTGATTAAAATAATCAAGTACTTAGTGTGTGCATTAACGTTTGAATTGTATGTCATATTTAACACAATGTGAGCCTATAGTGATAAAAAGTATGAAAAAAGTGTGAAAAGTGTCACCATGGACTCCGAAATCGAAATCCAGACCTTTGTAAACTGCACGCAGGAGGTGTTGGGTCGGGATCGCTCATGGGGCGATCTGAATGTGACTCAACTACTAGACCTGCTGCCAACTCAACTTTTGAAAGATATGAACTTGAAGTAAGTACGTCAATTATTGTAGGCATGCTTTAAAAAAATAAATAATGAATATGTACATTAGAACCAGTTAATATTGTAATTTTTTTTAAATTACCAAGTTGCGAGACGAACTTAAGCGACACGCCTGTCAATGACAATTACAGTGCCGCTCAGAGTTTTAAATCGCGATCGATCTGGGGGTCTACTCTCGATCTCCGTCCGACATCCGTCCGAAACAATTATACTGTCAAATAAGTAATGTTCGACAAAATTAAAAGACGAGTATCCAGTATGAAGCTTCATTCGCATGACGCGTCTTTTCATTTGGTCGAGTATTGCTTATTTGGCAGTAATTGTTTCGGACGGATGTCAGACGGAGATCGAGAGTAGACCTCCTGAAGGGCTCTGCTATTTTGCACCCGTCATCCTGAGACATAAGTTCTAAAGTCCTTGGTGGCAGAAATAGGTAAGGTACTTCCATGGACGAACTCTTTCAAAAGGAGCTCTCCTGCTACTGAAAAATGTGACAAAACATTTAATTAAAGATAAGCTGATATATCTAAAGCTGAAATGTCTACAGAATACCCGACGTTGCATCGCGATTTACGAACGCCGAGTTACTGACACGATCCATAAACTAAAAAAAGAAATAGGTAAGGCAGTACTTCCGTGGACGATTTCATTCATTCATGCTTTAGTATCAAATACGCGAATTCGCGAATTCTAAAGTTATCCCGACGAAATAGAACTGTTAAGCCTTGGATCACTGTTGAACTCTTGCGCTGCATAAGAAATCGGGACATATGCATAAAAAACTAAAATGAACACCCGATAATATAATACTTAAAACTGCGTACCGCAGATACAGGAACTACTGTGCCAACATATTAAAACGTTTGAAAAATGCCTTTCAAAAAAGGGAAATCCAAAAAACAGGTCATAATGGTAAAAAACTTTGGAAAATAATAAGGGAGCAAACACACAGCACCAAAATCAACGATTCAGCCAAAGCTCTCCTTACCCAGGCAAATTTTCCGGAAGAAGCAGTAGACAAAGTCAATTTATACTTTGCCAATATTGGAAAAGATTTAGGCGAAAACATCCGCTCAAAAAATCATACTGTTACTCACTACCATCATTTTACTAATTGCTCAAGTTATATTAATTCTTTTGTTTTACTTGACTCAGATGAAGACGAAGTCGAAAAACTGATAATGGGATTAAAGAATGACTTTGCAGTAGGCTGGGCTGGTATTCCTTCAAAGTTTATTAAAAGCTTCAAGGTTATCCTTATTCCAGCCATCATACATATCTCTCGCCTCAGTATAAATACTGGAATATTCCCGGACATTTTACTGGTAGTAAGGAATGTGTGAATAATCACTGTCCAATCTCCATCCTGTTTTCCATTCCTTGTCTAAGATTTTGAACGCATCATGAACAGCAGACTAATTAAATTCTTACAAAATAACAAACTTCTCTCGGAACAACAGTACGGGTTTCGTGCTGGGAAATCTACTGGAGATGCGGTTTATGATCTTACAAATTATGTGGCCGAAAATCTGGACAGGGGTATGAAATATTTATCGATATTTCTAGATCTCGCTAAGACATTCGATACGGTCTCTACACCTACCCTGTTATCTAAGCTTCAGCGACTAGGTGTAAATTAAAACAAAAAAATTAAAACTTTTTGAGTCCTACCTGACAAATAGAACACAATGCACAAGAATAGATGATTGTTTGAGTTCAGAGGCAAGTATTACCCATGGAATTCCACAAGGAAGTATTCTCGGTCCCACCCCTATTCACAGTTTTTATAAATGACCTCTGTTGTATTAATCTAGAAAATGGTAAAACAATATCCTTCGCCGACCACACAGCTCTTATTTTTTATGCCAAAACTTGGGAAGAAACATTTAAGTTTGCCCAAAATGGATTGGGTACAGTTCTAGAATGGCTCAGCGACAATTTCCTCACAATTAATGCCAAGAAAACTAAATATATCTCTTGTTCAATTCACAACGCAAAATGTTACGCATGAACATCTCCATTTAAAACCCCATCATTGTCCCAACCACACGTTAATGATTGTTCTTGTCCCTGTTTTGAAAGAGTTTTATTTACTAAATATTTAGGTATCATTCTCGATCAAAATTTAAACTTTATTTTTCATATTACGCAACTTGCAGCACGCACCAGGAAGTTAATCTATATTTTCAAAACCCTTAGACACATAGGAGACTTCGAGATTATTAAAATGGTGTATTATGCACTCCGTCAGTGCTTATTTATATATTGTGTAACTTCTTGGGGTGGTGCTGCAAAATCACACTTAATCAAGATTGAGCGGGCTCAACGCTATGTCCTTAAAGTAGGTATTTTTAGATCTGTACTCCACCCCACAGAGGACCTTTACAAATCATGCCAGGTTTTATCTATACACCAATTATTTATATTACGCACCGTATTAAGAAAACATTCTTTAATAACTCACGATGTTAACCTGACTAATAGTAAAAGACGACACGATATAGTGTGCCTGAAAAAGTCAATTCATACTGCCTTTTTATATCGGGTTTTTACCTTTCTGGGATGCAAATTTAAATTTGAAAATTTATTCCCTAAATAATAATATTATTATTCACAAGAAGCTCGACTGCTACTAAATATTTTTTTATATTACTTATAATGATAATGTGCCAAATAACCACATCAACCTGAACTCGAACTAGAGAATTCACTTTACTATGAGTATTAGGGCAATGTTATCATTACGAGGCACTACTTCTGAACACCGAGACCAGGACAAATTTATGGAAGTATATTTTCCAAATTGATCCTACGGGAAATCGAACCAAGGTCCTCCTCATCCAGTGTGCTCACAGTTGTCACCAAGGTCGTCAAAAATTATTATTCATAAAATATTCTCACGAACTTCTTATCTCTCTAATGAACATAGAATACCGTCGGGGATAGTACAAATCCGCGTATGTAGTATTGGTAAAAAGCGCGTACCTGCATCAAGCGAAATTTCACAGGAGAGGGATTTAACGTTGTTACTTTGTTATTTCAATGGCTATGACTTTCATTTTTGCACAGTAAGCTTTAATTTATCTTGTTGTACTAATTTAGTTGCCTCAACATTTACGCGGATTTCTAGATCAAATGCTAGTTACGCGTTAGGTAAAAAGCATACGCATTACGTAAATTAAGGAAAATTGACAGAAGTGGAATTACATGGAGCTTATTTTTTCTAACCTGACTTTAATTCGTGCTAAAGATGTACAGTAAACACATCAAGCTGTATATGTTTGTTCGAATATCGTCCTATCGTCGAATATGTCCGGTAACCGTCCTCGGAAACGTCGGCACATGATACCCTTCTGCCAGAAAGTCCTCCTTCATAAAGGACCACAGATGTTAAGTTGATACTCTCATCACAAATGAACTAAAATTCACATTGTGGTGGGACTCCAACTGCTCTAAGCTCAGGGTACTATTGGCTTTCACCCGTATGTACTCCACAATATCCGCAGACTTTGTTGAGTAATTAAGTCGTGACACGACACAAGGGCGCATTTATTCCATACGAGTTTCAACGCGCTCACCCGCGGTCGCCGAGCGGAGACCGCGTTGCCACCGCGCAGCGACCTCGTGCGTCTAACTATCATGGCAAAATACGCTGTATTTAATTAGCCTTTACGTTTTAACTTAAATGAGCGTCCCGGGCACGCGGGCGAGTCTGGCTTGAATTAGGTCTAAGCGGCGGTCGCGTGGCGGCTGCGCGGTTGTATTGTTCAGAGGAATTTAAATGTTGTTGCCAAGCAAATAGAATTCAGACTCGCCATTAATGTTGATGAAGGCGTAGCAACTGGGCCACCTTACTGGGCTAACCCACCCTTACACAGGTTGGTACCTGTTGGTACCTGCTGGTGCATACATACATATAATCGGCGTTTTGCAAAAAAGGCGAAAGCGCCATTTCATTTCGAAAAATATTCAGGGGAGCATGTTTTAGATTTTAACGACTGTTTTAAAATATTTACATCCTGTTTTAAAATTCAATTTTAGTTTTGATTAAGTTTAAATTTTTCAAATTGAATTTAAAACAGGACGTAAATATTTTAAAACGGTCGTGAAAAACTGATTATTTTCTGTGAAATTACTCCACTGGTTTTTTATAATTAGTAGTACAAAGGTTGAACACTAAGAAAAATCCTTCGATTTGACTGGATTCGTACTAGCGCTTTCAGCATACCGTGCGTCACTCTCTCCCAACTGAGCTAAGGAACGAACCAGAACACCTTACAAATGTCCGTGAGCTTCTTGCAGATCATTGTTTTTGGTTTCTAACGACTCTTTTGCCGTAGCGAAAATCTGTGAGATATCTATGAAAGTTTTTCTTCACTAAGGTATTTTTATATTTAAATAGTATCTAGTACTATATTGAAGACTCGCCCTGAAGAACACCTCTAATCTAATCTCTATAGATCAAAGTATTACTACGGCGTTAGTGGAACCAATCCCTAGAGTTGTTTAACCATCAATATTTATGAGCATTTGCACTTATGTGAACATATCTAGGACCACTTTTGCGTACCCTAACGTTCAGAAAGCACACATAATTTACCTTTAAGACCAAAAGTGTTCAAAAGTCTTAAGAATTGACTTTACGATCGTAATTTCTTCTCTGTATATCGACCAATGAAGGAAAATGTTTCAGGGTATTACAAATATACAGATGGCGGCATATCATACCTATCTCTTGAAATTCATCTCTGGAGCTGTGTCGTCAGTACCACCGAGATAAGTAGACTAGTGCGACGACGACGGTTTCAAAAAGGTTAAAAATAAAAAGAAGTCGACCAGCCGTGACCTTAGTGGCACCGCCCCGACTGGCCCCAATCATTTATTGCTTCCAGCGGTATCGACGACGTTGTAAACACGACAGGATGTAAATATTTTTAAACGGTCGTTAAAACCTAAAACATGCTCCCCTGAATATTTTTTCGAAATGG